CCCCCCCCCCCCCCGTTTTCTTTTAGCTCGATTTAATTTATTTTCACCAAAATTGGCTCGAAGAGGAATAAACATTAATTAATAAAATAAATGCTGAAAAATACGAGCTCTCGATTATATACAGGATTTCAGAAAGAGATGGGATAGACAATCCCAAGCAGTTTTTAATTTATTTAGGCAGGCCGATAGAGTCGAAAAGCTTGCTGACATCATCCAGCGACTGGTGAGCATCGATTTTTTTTTCCTTTACTTTTTTTCAATTGTTGTAAAATTTAATTGCGAATTTTTAAAACCGTAATTAATTATGTATTGTTTTGTTTGTAGGAGCAAGGAGATTTGAAACTTCGTGTAAGAACATTGGAATCGGAGAGGGCTTTTCAACGTGTTGCCGCCGTTCAAGACATGGTTGGCAGTGTAAGTTTGTACTAACATTAATTGATTTTTAGTATTTTATATTCATAAATTATGGTGGAAATTGGAACATAAATTCGGAAAAAAATCGTTTTAGAACAATATTTTCATTCCAAGTTCCGATTTTTCCAATTTTTTCGGAACGAAATGTAATACATATTAGGTTTCGATTTTTTATCCGATTTTACCCAAAAATTACAGTGAAAATATGTATTATATATTTTGCATGATAAATGACCAAAAATTTGGAATTTCTGGATCCTGCCCATTCCCATAAAAAAATTCCGATTTTGGAACAATTATTTTCATTCTTATTTTTCCGACTTTTTTTTTTTTAAGAATTGGAATTAATTGTCCACTACCCAAAAAAAATAGAATTTTTCGGAAAATGTGAATTCCAATCAATCCGTCTGATTTTCACTATTCTTAGATAATTCAAAATTTGTTGATTTCTTGATTTTTTTTTTATTATTTATTTCTCTTTGATTGGTAGTTCGATTTTAATCCTTTCAATGTTAATTTGGGTGTCGATTAATAGGGAGTTGCTGCTGGAAGCTTAGTCAACCTTGCCACAATACTACACCTTAATTCGATCCAGGTTAGTTTTCGACTCGAATCAACTCAATCGCTGCTTTTATCCGATATATTTGCTAATACGTCTTTAATCACGTTTAACTCGCTAATTAATTAATTTTTTTTTTTTATCTCTCCAGATGCCGGCTACCATTGCGTTCATCTTGTGTGCATTTTTCGGCCTTAAAGTTCTGATCGGCATGATTAAGGTTAAGAAATTCGATCAAAGAGAACGCCTAATCACCGGAACTGCTTAAATAAACGGTAAGTTTCCTAAAATTCTTTTTATACATTTTTGGGCAAATTACGGCCACCCCCTGAGGAATGGCCAAATTACGAAAAAAACCCTCTTGTTTGGGTGATTACAGCCACCCCCTCCTAAATCTTTTTACATAAAATTTATGTAATTCGGTTATTTACTGAACCAAATTGTATATTCAGTTTGGTTAACGGTATGAAATGTTGGCGTACTGAAATTTCAGTTCGGTTTTGCCAATTAAACATCCCTAAATTTACCTACCTCTGGAGGGGTTTTTTTCTAAGATAATACATAGTTGAGGGTGTGGCTGTAACTACCCAAACATGAGAGGGGGTTTTCGTTATTTGACCATAACTCTGGGGGTGGCCATAATTTGTTACAACTTCAAATTATTGCAATTAGCATCCATGTGTTACATCGAATTGCTAAAAAACTACCCCCATTTTATTTTATTGGCAAAAAAACCCCTATGATTCAACTTTTTTTTACCACACAGCCCTCTAAATAGGGGTACTAATTGCCATTGGTAAAAAAAGTTAAATCATAGGGGGGTTTTGGCCATAAAATAACATGGGGTGGTTTTTTAGCAATTTGATATAACACAGTGGTGCTGATTGCAATAAACTCGCCGCAATTATACTTTTATGGTAACTCCTAACATAGAAAGCTTGTTTTCTTTCTCTATTACAGTCTTCAAACTCAATAATGATATTCGAGCGATAGCTTTGTTGTGATTTCAATGGCGGTTGATAATCGCAAATTTCGGAAATCGGGATCGTTCATTTGAAATTGAAACCACATTTAAACGGCAGCTTGGACGGTAAATCTTTATTTGAGAGTCGAAACATATATATGTGGCGTTAATTTTGTTTCCATAGTCGATTCTCTCTCTCTCTTTCTTGATCTCTCTCTTGATCTCTCTCTCGATTTTTGGGGGTAGCTCTCTATATATGTAGATATATATATATAACTGTATAGTTAACTATGAATGAATGAGGCAAGAGGCCATGTAAACATATTTGAGATATATATTTATTATTCTGACAAAATTTGAGTTATTAACATGCAAATTAATTTTTTTGCATTGTTTGTTACATTTGTATGATCTGATGACTCATTTTTTTTATGTTTTTTTTTTAAATTAGAAAAAATAAAAAAGAAAAAAAAACACCGATGTGGTGGTGTTAGGGTTTTTTTCTTGGGTAAATAACACTTAACCGCCCTGTGGTATAAACTTTGTGCACATGAACCCTCTGTACTTTCAATATAGTACATGACCCCCTTGTATTTTAATATAAGCACATAATCAAAAAATTCTCTTCCTAATGAGTTGTGAGTATGATTATTTACCAAGTAGAAAAATCATAGGGGGTTATGTACTTGTATTAAAAGTATAGGGGGTTATGTGTACAAAGTTCAAACTATAGGGGGGGTCATATACTTATATTGAAAGTACAAGGGAGTTATGTGCACTAAGTTCAAACCAGAGAGGATCTAAGTGCTATTTTAGTTGTTGAGGAATAAGGTTGTTGGATGAAGTGAATGAGCTGTAGAATGGATGTGTCCCATGTGCACAAACCTTCAAAATAATTTAAAATTGCTCTTTCCAAGTCTTTGTAATTTATTTATTTATAATATTGCTGTGTCGGAGGATTGAAAAATAAATATTATAGTAAAGTCATATTTGTTGCCAGCCTAAGAGCTAAAAAGCACACAAAAACATTATTATCTTTTTTTCTGTCGATTTTAGGATTTTGTTGGGTGCATTATTGCACTTTTATATGTACGGATTTTGAGAATTTATATCAGGTAAATTACGATCATTCCCTGAGGTAATGTTATATTACGAAAAAGATCCCTTATGTTTGAGTAATTGCAATTACCTCCTCAATTATGAATTTTCCACCCTTATGGTGTCAGATTCAACATAATCTTTTATTCTGTGTAATTTCTCTATTTTGTACTCAGTTTTGTATAAAAATGCAGTTTCTAATACATCACAATCTAATATTTACAAGCCAAGACATACATTTTATGATCATCATATTTCAAAATATGGAGCTCTAATGGGGTAAAACGGGTATAAACTGGGGAATATTCTACGTAATCTAGAAGATTTCACTAAATTTGACACCGCAAGAATAAACATATAAGAATATTCCAAGTTAAAGGGGAGTAGTTGTAATTACCCAAACATGAGGGATTTTTTTGTAATTTAACCTTACCTCAGAGGTGTTCGTAATTTACTAATATAGATGCAAGAAACATTGAATGATGATGAAGACAACATCAAAAAAACACAATGTTCAAAAAAACATGCATGTTTATGGTCATAAGTAATGCCAGATAAATAAACCAATCGTGATTAACCAAAGACTGCTAATTACAGGTTAGCTTAATTAATTATAGATTAATCAGTAAGTGGACCACAATCAAGGTTGACCAAGAAATTAAAGACAACACATTCTTGATTTATGAGCCAGTTAAGCTCATGCCCAGATTAACAAGAATCTGATTATATAATAACCACCTCCATTACAGTTTGTCAGAGGTATGTTGGAAGATTATCAGATTTATTTTATATATATATATATATATATATATATATATATATATATATATATATATAAATGAAAAGTCATTGTAAGAAGTTAGCTAGTAAAACAAGAAGAAAGAAGAAACTTTTGATTTTTGTAAGAGATTAATTTGGCAAGTAAAACATCATTAAGGACAATAGTTTATTTTTTAAGTTAAAATTTTGCATTTATTTCGTATAATGAAACGACTCTTACGGTCTAAAATTCCAAAAACGCCATCCTATCAGACGTAATCGATGTGAATACGAAAGTATATAGGGGGATTAATTTCCCCAAAAAATTGTATGTTATCGACGTAGATGTGTCACTAATTCTATATAGTAACAATAAAAATATTTAGTGACAACAACGAATTATCGGCCACAAATTTAGGGACAAATTTTAAGATCGTCACTATTGGGAATGTCATTTTTTCTTGAAAAAAAAAAAAAGTTTCACGAAATTTGCAAGGAAACAAGTTAGTTTTCATTAAATCTTTTTTTGCTTGCGAAGAAAAATTGAAAATGGAAGAAAATTTCGATTGAATTTTGCAAAAAGAAAAAAAAGTACAAATTGCATGTTTGTGATATTTTTCCTATTCATGTCGTAAATTTTAACAAAATTTTGCGTTTCAACGTTTTCGTCCCCAATTCATTCGAACCTTTGACAAAATTAAAGAAACGGGCGAGATTTGACAGGAGGAACGAGTTTTAATCACGTCTTCGTGCCTTGCATAACAAACTATTCATATTTCATCATTCTATTCTTTAACACTTGATCTAAATTTTAAATACTTATACACATATATAGATAGTTGATCCTTATTCATGAACTAATAATAATTCAAACATAAAATAATTCTTAGAAATATAAAAAACACAAGAAACTAGTTAGGAAAACCCCTATAATATTAATTGCAACAAAAGTATTGTTTTATTGAAAAGAAATAAATAATTTACATAAACTCTAATTAATATAATATCCCTAAATGCATTCCTTCAAGGCAAGGACTGAGTATATATGTAGTCTTCACTCTCCAATATAGTTTCTTTTGACCCTTCATTCCCCTCTTTGCCTTTCACCTGCAAATATATATATATATATATATATATATATATATATATATATATATATATATATATATATTTCAGTAAGAATGCAATCTAATAATTCAATCTTGTTTCCAATTTTCAGGTTGAAAATCGCACGTTAGAGGGTCATCTCTAAGACAAAGCAATAATCCAGACGGGCATAAAATAGAAACAGATGTATATTTTTAATTCTTTATTTTCGACAAATAAATAAAAAAGGTGGGGGACCATTTTATTTTTTTCGAAATACTAACGAGCAGCGCGCAGAATTTAAAACAAACTTGAATAAATCCCCAAAAGTGGACATATTGAATTACAAAGAATATTAATATATTATACATAAATATTGAATTTCGTACGAGTTTTTGGCCCGCAAGTTACGGGAAAATATATGAGATTATCTCTTGGCTCATTTACGGGAAAATTACAGTTTTTGCCCCGCAAGTTTGCACTAGTTTCACATTTGGTCCCCAACACGAAAAACACATTTGTCCCTCATGTTTCAACAATATTCTGATTTTTTTTGTTATATTCGCAAAACTTACCGTTAGTCCTTCCGTTAAGAGAATGTTGGACACATGGTTGATTCCATTAGTACTAACGAAAAATTGACGAAAATGACAAAAAAATGTTAAACTATTGAGACATGAGGTACTAAATCTATTTTTTTATGAACGAGATGGACTAAATGTATAATTTGTAAACTTGAAGGACGAAAAGTGTAATTTTTCAGCTCATTTACCCTCTAATGAAGAGTTGTTTTAGTTTCTTATTTTCTTCCAATAAAATCCAAATTAAAATAGATAGGTATGAAAAAGCTCACATTTAATTAAAAAAAAAAATTCAACTAATCATCACTAATAACGTAGGACCAATCAATTTTCCATCTTCTTTTTCAGCTGTTTTTTTTTATTTAATATTTTTATCATTATTTAAAAAATGAAAAGTCCTTTTCATTTAACCAACCGAAAAAAGGAAATAATTTGTTAGGCCAAGATGGCATAGGCTTTTGGTTTGCAAGTCAACATGTAAATTTGACTTGGGAAAACAAAGAAATAAATAACACAACACATATATTGAATATGAGGCTTTTAATTAACAACTTTAAATAATTTAAGACCGAATAAAAAAGTTGTAATTATTTAATAAATTTTGATTTATCTTGTTAACACTCTCGTATAATAGCTTCTAAATCAATAGGACCACTGAATAGCACAAATTATAAATTGGTATGTGATGCTGCTCCAAAAATGATGGGTCAGCCCAATGGTCTTGAAGCCCACAGGTCTTCTAAGTCCGGGAATCTTCAAGCCCAATATCGGAAATGCCGAAAGTCCTTGCCACGCGTCCGAGGTAGTCGAAGGGATCGCTCCACTCGTTAACCTACAAAACAGTTGAAAACACTAGGTGACACGTCGGGGGTGGCCCGGCGATTGTCCTCCGACGCTCAAGTCAGAAAACTATCACAATATAAGCAAATAATATTAATTAATTGCCTAAATAGTGCTTCCCTTATTATATGAGTTAAATCACATATTTATAGGTGATGAAATATGGAGACTTCTTGTAGAAATCCGATGTGGGATAATATGTTATAACTAAAATCCTATTGAATTTTAGTAGATGTGATAATTGGGCTTTTATTATTAATTGGATTGATTTGGCCTTTTAGGCCAAAAACCCAATTAAGAATTAGGCACATCATTAAGCCCCCCACTCCCAAGTAGGGCCACAGGCACGTGGGCCTGGTTGGGAGTAACTTAGGAACAGTCGTTCTTTAGCGGGGCAAAATCCCTTGGCTTTATTGCCTAGTGGGAAGCACGCATTTCGTAAAGAATGAGTTATGCTTCATCTTTTCCGGTGAGACGGTATCCCTTGGTTATATAGCCTAGTGGGAGGCTCGGCTCTCGTAAAGAATAAGCTTTTACTTTATCTTTTTAGGTAAGACGGTATCCGTTGGCTTTAACGCCTAGTGGGAAGTCCGTATTTTTGTAAAGAATGAGTTATGCTTCATCTTTTTCGGTGAGACGGTATCCCTTAGTTATATAGCCTAGTGGGAGGCTCGACTCTCGTAAAGAATAAGCTTTTACTATATCTTTTTAAGTAAGACGGTATCCCTTGGCTTTAACGCCTAGTGGGAAGTCCGTATTTGTACACTTGGTGGTTGATCAGACCCTCAAGTTTTTCATGTAGGAAGTCTGCCCGTTTACCTAAGTTTTGAAGGGCGGGTAAGACTCCCCGGAGCTTTAATTGCTCTATTTTTTGGAGCTTTGGGGAGTGAGAAAACAAGGTTCGGGTTGGCCAGACCCTTTGTGATCCTTGATATCTTTTCCTTTAGCTATTTTTTGAGTCTATTGACTTTTTGTTAAATCTATTGTAGATGTCTTGAACGAAAACGCGTAGAGAAGACAAATTGTTGATGTAGAA